GAAATTTGAGAAGCTAAAGGAGGCCAGTTAGGGAAATATTCTAATAAAGGAAAGATAAAGAGACGGTGAAAGGCAGTAGCAGTAGGAATAAAAATGAAGGGAAAGTGATAGACAATGTGGTGGAGATGTGGTCTGTGGACTGGTTACACCCAGTCCTAGTGGAGAAGCAGACATGGGGTATGGACAGTGATAGGAAAAGAATAAAGTGACTTCCATGCTTTTACCTTGGGCTGAGCTTATGGTGACGTCATGCTCTAGGACAGAGAACACAATCTCACTGGTGTGTAATCTCATTGGTATTCTTCTCCACAGTGAATTAGGCACACCTATAAACTATCTCAGGGAAATACTCACATGACAGTTGGATAGAGAAAAATGTGATGGAATTACAGAAGCAAATTTGAATAGTTTGGTATCAAGAAAATGAATCTTGAGAAGAATATTTAGATAAGATAATTGAGAGACAAACTCAGATGAAGAACAGAGGACATAGTAAATTTTTGGAAAGCACAGACATTCTATAACCATGAAAGTAAGAGAAAATATCAAAGAAGACAGAGAAAAAAGGATGAGCAGGTGTAAGACTCTTTGGCATTGTATACATACTATTTGTTTAGGTTTACTAGCTAATAAATCAGATGATGTGTGCTCCTGTGCTGTTTCTAGCTATGTGGCTTTGGACACATCTCTTAAAATGACTGAATTTTTATTTTCTCTTAATGCAAAGTGAAGCCACAGCTCTTACTACCAGGTTTTTCTTACATAAGATTACATACATGAAACAATCTTGGTAATACTCCAAAGCATCATATAAACACAAAAAATTATAATTATATTCTATATAATGACTTCTTTTTCCTGTTTTTGTCCTTTCTTTCGACTGAATGGAATGTTTACTGGGCTTAAAATTTCATCCCTTCTTGCTGTATCATCTCTCACATTGAAAGAAAATGTACTAAAACCTTGGTCTACCAAATAATCTGGGCCAAGAATAGCTAATATATAAGATACATCATGTACAAGTACATGATATATCTTACATATATATATACAATAGTTGTCATCATTATGATGAATGTCATCACTATGCATATTTAAAATGTAAAATGTACCAATAAATAAAAATGTAACACAAAAAGTTTTTCAAAACTTAATCTGATATATACTCTTAAGATCAGGCAGACATTAAATTAATATTAAGAAAATAGATCTTTGGAAATTTGGTTATGTGCTTGGCATTACTATAAAAGCAACTGGAGGAAAGTGGGATTTCTAATTCCATAATTTCTCCTCCTCCACTACCTGAAATAACTGACTCAGGTGATGGTTTCTCCCAATCCCAGGAGAGAATCATTGTTCTAAGTGTCTATCTCTTTAAAGAGGAACACAAGAAGAATTTTCTACTATTACAAAAGAAATGCATGTGGCACTGCCATAGTGTAATGAAAATATTGTTTGGAATAAAAATTCTTGTTTTTCTTTCCAAATAAAAATTTACTTGCAGTTTTCTTACTTATGTCACGTAGTCTTTTTGAACTTCTCATTTGCTCATTTTACAATGAGCACAGTAATAATAAAGCTTGTAATCATAAAATTACAAGCAATAATAAAGGAGTGGTTTTGAGCCTCAAGAGAAGGGGCTGATTTTGGGTGAAAGTGATTTGAGCTGTGAAATAAAATATCAGTGTCCTTAGGTTTATTTTAGCAAATGTTGGGATCTATTGGGGTAGGAGAGACTTTTTAGCATTTTTTAGAATAATAATATGTTTTATTAATATCCCAAATTCCTGCCCTATTGATGGTTGAAACACATAAATGGAATTATAACTTACTAATTAGACAGGGCTGAAACAATTGACAGATTTGAATTTTTATTATTATGTGTGTATTTCAAGAGAAAAGCTTAATGTTTTTCAAAGTTCCTTGGTTGGTGCTCAATAAATATGTACTGAGCATGTGAATGCATTTGAAATAGATTTATTTCATATTGTTAGTACAGAGCTATTCCTTTTAAATGCACTTTCCAAAAATATCTCATAAGAACAGAAAGTGAAGACTTTGTTAATACCCTATCGATGTAGCATCCTGCAGGAGCATTAATATCAGTATGGCAGCATATCAATAATGATATGACTAATGCAGAGAAGTTCTGCCTTGGGGTTCATTCAAGGATCCACTTGAGCTTTATTCTTATGATTAAAGGGTCATTACTTACCAATTCCATTGTAATTTTGTCTCAGTAAGATGAGCATATGTCTTTCAATAACATTGTTGTTAATTATTTTAAACAAACCCATGATAAAGAGATCAGATCTATAACCATTTCACTTCTAAGGGAACAGTTATTTTTCACTCTTGTGATTGATGTTTTATTTAAATCCTTTCTAAAATATGAGAGTTTCTAAATATGATTTTGCATTAAGGAGCAAGTTTTCTTCTGTTTGGTACCGGTGTGTACTGAGTATTGAATATTATCTAGTCTCCAAGTTTATTTAAAGTTGACATTATCTGTCAATGAATATCAGCAAGGCTTGAAGACTCCTTTCATTTCTTGTTTCCTCTCTTTCTCCCCTCTTTTGCTTTTTCTTCTTTCCTTTCAGCCATCTGTCACTTATAACAATGTAGCATACGTGTGTTGATTGCCTTCCTCCTGCTGCAGAATGTGTTAGGCTAGAAAAGGCTTCAAATAGGCGGCTCTCCACTGAGGGTGGCTTGCCCCCAGATGGTGTTTGTCAGTGTCTGCAGACAGTTTTGGTTGTCCCAACTGGGGAAGTTTTACTGGCAAAATGGTTAGAGCTAGAGGTGCTGCTAAATATAGAAGGCAGTCTCACAACAAAGAATTGCCTGTCCCACAGTGTCGGCGGTGCTGAGCAGGAGGAGTTTTGACTTGCATCGTTCCAGCTTTCCCAGATACTCCTTGTTGGCTTCTTGTGTAACCACCCACATCAGCTTTCACAGCCTTCCTGAGGAACGTCTGCTCATGCCGCTCTATCTTGCATCTTAGTTCTGCTATATATTCCTCCTCCATTTTAACACTAACACTTAGAAGAAAGGGATGCGGTGTTAAGAGAGTTTGTACACCATTTTCAGGGTGTAAACTGCATACTTTTCAAGTAGTTAGGCTCTTTTGTGCCACAAGATGTAGAAGACATAGCTATGACAGGATTAGAAATTAGCCTAATCGATTGGCAGAATAATTTCAGAAAGACGCAAGGGAGGGCAGAGTTCAGTGTATCACACTGTGAAGAGAAGAGACCATTCTAATTTAGAATGAGACGGAATTCTTAACAGTGCTTCCATCAGTCACATATTCTCATTAGCTCTGCATCTAAGTGACCCTTTGCAGTTGACCTCTTCCTTCCCTCCAGCGCAGAGCTGGGTTCCAAAATTTCCCCTTTACCCCCTGTATCTCATTTTACACAGAGGCTGAAGGCACTGCAGAACAAAGTCAATCTTAGAACCTTAAAATTTTTGCCAGAGATGATGATAAGGTGTGTAGGTCAACTAAGGCTGCATCTAAAATCATGTCTGTAAAATCTAAAATTATATCACAACACAAACCAGCACAGTTGGAGAATAATGCTAGGAGTCTGCTCCCCCAAAGATACAGCCCAGAAGGAAGAAGAGTGCATTCCAAGAGCAAAGCTGAACCCAGTGGCTAAAAAATGAAACCAAACTGTTCTCAGATTCTGATAATACAAGGAGGTACCCCTAACATGAAGCTAAAGCCTTTATATATAAACGCGGGTCTCTCTTTGCCTATGAGAGGTGAGACCAATGCTGACAGGTGTAAGAATCTTGACAGATATGCTGGGGCACTCTGGTGCTCTTTGTCACATATCTAGGACAATGGCAAATGGCAAGCTGCTAAGTCGGTTGCCATGTGGTTTACTGAACTCAGTATGCCAGCAGCCATAATCCAGAACCAGAGCTCACAAATCCAGTGTTTTCCTGCATATGTCAGCATCTTTCAGAAACTGTCTCTGCCCCCACAATAGTAAGTAGTTAGAAAACCAAAACAAGCCATAGTACAATGGAAGTTACTACTAAACTAGCTACTGAATTTTAGAAATCATGTCTTAATTTCCTTTGCTTTCTGACAGGCCACTTATTTTAATACCTCCTGACCCTGAATTTTCATTTGTGCAGATGGTTGGAGCATGAAGATAATATATCAATAACAGATGTACACATTTCTCTGGACTTAACCCTGGAGAAGCTGCTGCCTCAAGAAATTATTAATGAAATTTAAAATCTCTCACTTCCAGTCCATACATACGAAAAATGCTATCTTTGTTGTATTCAAAAATCATTACTATCTAAATACATGTCATGCATCATGTCCTTAGTGCAGATATTATGTCGAGTATGAGTAAGCACAATTGTAAGTAGATGAGAAGTGATTTCTTCTTAAGAGATACCATGATTAATTACTACTTGGAGCAGTGTTTTAAGTGGCCCTTAGACAACAGCACTCTGACTTTGACTAAATTTAACCAAATGCCCTGGGATGTGGAGAATCTTGCACAACCTTTTTTAATTTTTTGAAAAGGGAAAATGTAGTAATTAGTTTTTGAAAAGATTGTCTTATTTTTTCAGTATGCTTTTCAAATATTATTTAATGTTTAATAACATTTGAAATAATTGGAAATGTTTGGAAAGAAATAATTTGAAATACAGAAGAACCTGAAATATGACTTATATTATTAAAATCTAAAGTTTCTCCATCCAGAAAATATTATTAATAAAAATTTGGAGAATTTGAAAAGGAATACAGTGCAAATACAGTGCAACACTATTTATTAAAATCACCTTACAGTACCTGAGAGAGCACAGACAAAGCCATGGCGGGACTGTGGCAGGGGCATCTTTCTTGGCAAAGTGAAATTATTTTACTCCCATAATTTGCTACATGTAGTTTTAAATTTTTGATTTTTCAAATTTGCTTTGAGTAAATCTGACTTCTTGGTGGACTGTTGTAGACGTTTTAGACTGTAAATTTGAATAACGGTCGCCACATCAGGATGCAGACGGCTCCATCACTCCTCACCCTCTCCTACTGCCACTAACGTCTCACCCTTCCGTATCTGCACGCGGCAACCTCTATTCCATTTTCCAACACGGCGCTGTCTTCCCGTCTTATAATGAACTCAAACTGTGTAACCTTTTGTAAGTGCTTTTTCTTTACTCAGCAGAGTGACTCTGTTTGTATCCGAGGTGTGTCTCTCAGTACCTCGTTCCTTTTACTTGCTGAGTAGTGCGCTGCACTCTGGTGTGTTCATCCATTCAGTGTGCAATGAAGAGCATTTGGGTTCCTAGATTGGGGTACTTATGCATAGTGCTGCTACAAACATTCACACACGGACTTTTGTGAGAATAGGAGCTGAAAGTCTCCAAGGTAAATACCTAAGGTGGGATGACCGGGTCTTCTGGCAAGTACATGTCTAACTCTGAAAGACAGGTATTCCTTGTTCACATTGTCACTGTTCACTGAGGGTGAGTTCCCTTTGTTCTATTTTCTCGCCGGCCCTTGGTATTGGTAATGAGTTTTATATGGGTCCTTCTGATTGGGGATTAGTCATGTTACATCATTATCTTAATTTGCATTTTCCCATCACTAATGAAGTTAAAAAATCCTTACATGTGCTTATATCTTGTGTCTGCATATCTTCATAGGTGAAGTGTCTCTCACGTCTTTCAACCATTTGTTAATGGACTCTTTTCACATTGTTGAATTTTTTTTTTTTTGATTTTTCTCCGGTACCAGGAACCGAACTCACGACCTTGCGCTTGCCAGGCAGGTGCTTTGCCGATGAGCTAAATCCCCAGCCCCGACACTGTTGAATTTTAAATCCCAGGATCCAAGTGATTTGCAATTGATTCTCATAGTTTTTGCCTGTCTTTACAGCCCTTAAATAGTATCTTTGCAGAATGAATGTTTTTAATTTTGATAAAGACTAATTTACCAATTTTAAATTATTAATCATGCTTTTGGTGTTATCTAGGAACTATTTGCTTAATCTTAGACAAAAACAATTTTTCTCCTATGTTTTCCTCTAAAAGTGTTTGTAGTTTAACATTTTACATTTTGATCTACCATCAATAATGGCTTAATTTTTGTAAAAGTTGTGAGGGTTATGCTGAAATCCATTTTATTATATGTGAATGTGCCATTTGTGGTAAAAGCTTCATTCCCCATGAAATTAATTTTGGTTAAAAACAGAATGTGTGCTATAGTGTGGAACAGGGACATGCTGAGGGGCCATGTGTTAAATACTTGTCTTAGTGTGGTGCTGGGAAGGAGTGGGAGCTCCTTGCTGTGGGACCTAGAAGAAGAAATTAGGTCACTGAGACATGACATCTGAGGGTACAGGGAGACTTCAGTCTCTTCCTTGTCTCTCTGTTCCCTACCTGCCTTAAGGTGAGTAGCTTCCTCCACCACATGTTCCCACCAGGACCCCAAAGCATGGGGCTACCAGTCATAGAGTGAAATATCATGAATAGGGAACCAAAGCAAACCTTTTTCTTCATAAGTTGATTGCTTCAGTTACTTTGTTATAGTAATGGAAACTAATAGCATATTTTTGTGGGTCTTTTCCTGGAATTTCTATTGTTTTCCATTGATTCATATCTATGTCTTCATTAGTGTTACTAATATTAACATAACTTAGTAATAAGTTTTAAAGTTGTAAAATGTGAGTCCTCCAACTTGTGTGCTGCATTATTTTGGCTCTTCCTTTGAATTTTTCATTGCATATCAATTTTAGTCTTAGTTGTCTACAAAAATCATGCAGTCTAGCCACCATTTCTCCCCAGAATCAACTACTAAAATAGTCTAGAGGGGAGACACAAAGGAAAGATGAGCATTGCAAAAATTGACAAGTATTCAGGAAGAGAAGGACATTTATTTCTACTGAGGCTGAACCACAGTCCAAGCTTGGATAGCAAAAGTACACAACTTGCTTATTGACATGATAATTTCAGATTCCTCCCTTTTGATTTTTATGAAATAACAACCAAAGCAATTTAATAGGCACTCAGTATGTCTAAGTCTTAGTCTTAGTCTAACTCCTTAGTTCCAAGGAGCCAAGTGTGGTGGCAAATATCTATAATCCCAGACTTGGCAAGTTGAGGAAGGAGGATCGCTGTGAGTCTGAGGTCATCCTGGACTACACAATGAGTTCAAAGCTAACCTGAACTACATAGTGAGACTCTGTGTCAACACACACACACACACACACACAAAGAGAATGCTAAGTAGTTAGTATCATGCACAAGAGGAAAACATCAAGATCATAAGATTTTTGTACTGGGGAGTCACAGCACAGAAACAGCTATCACAGAATCCCCTTATCTGCCACCACCTCCAAGACACGGATTTATTTCCTTTTGTGATGCCTCACCCTAAAGTGTGCTTCACTTGGATGACAGATGACTTAGTAAAAGAAATATTGCAGTAGGTGGAAATTTTTTAGCTCCATAGTCATTTGGGGACATATTGGTGAGATGAAAGTGTCAGCAGTCTCGCATGATATGGGGTATTGATAGGTCCTTTTTAGTATAAACTCTAAAAGCCTGGGATATAGTGATCTCTGTATCTGCGGCAAGCCAGCTGTTTGTCACACTTCATTTCTGCACCTCGGAGCTTCACTTCTCTATGGATCCCTGTTGTGGTCTCTAACTCCATGCAGGGCCTTTCTGTTCACCCAAAGCCAAGGCACACAAAGATTCAAGCTAGCAAGAGTTTAAACGATTTGTAGCAAAATTTTGATTGGTATGAGCTAAGAGCAAATCATTTCTCTTTTCCTTTTCTTCTCTGCCCTAAAAGAATGGTCCTGAGATGTAGCTTCTGTACTTTCTCAGAGGAGCAGCTCAGGAAATGAAGCAATCATATTGCATGCTTGGCAGCTTCCTGAGAGCACATTTTCATATTATCTCCCCTCCATCCCTGCTTTTCTCCCTGTGTCTACCTTCTGCTTGCTGGTACACATTAGCTTTGAAGTTATCTAATGTTCTGTTTGATGGAGACCTTGACCAAGGCACAAAATAACATCATTACTCCATTAGGAGACTGCCAGGAAGTCTGATAAAATATGAGATTGTTTCAATTTAATATGGATATTAAATGATTGTTTTATTTCTCACAGTACAATCTTTTGTCTTCTTTTTCAAATGCAAACTTTACTTGCCATTCCACTGCTGCACACTCAAGAGAACTCTGGTCCCCGTCTCTCATAGGTACGTGTTAAGGGATCTGTACTCCATAAATAGTTACTAATTACTCTTGGGTTGTTTTAATAAAAACATAAGCAATTCATATTATGGAGGTGAAACTGATTTTTACATCTTGTAATAATTATTAATACTCTACAAACTAAATTTATAATATCTTTGGGTCTTTATAATAGTCCTCTGAGGTAAGCAAGGAAACAGATTTATTTATCTTATACAGTGTGGTAATTGAGGTTTGGGGAGATAAACTGAATTACTTTAGGTTTCAAAGAAGAAAATTATCAGAGCCAGAGACAAGGGGTGCCAAAATCTTACTTTCCTTGGACTCTTTTATACCAGGAGTTTGCAAAAACCAGGCCTTATAAATAAATAGAATTTACTTTTAATTGGTGGGTGGCATCTCTAATACTCTATAGTCTCATCTTTTCATTGATGCCATATTTTTTAATAATTAGCATCTACTTTTCACCATGAGAATACTCAAATGATAGTTGAGGTAATAATTAGTTGCTGCTTAGGTATTAACAAATCCTTCTTCAATGCTTTCTGTATATACAATAAAGAGGAAAATGAAATATTTTTTGTGTGTCAACATTCTCACTCCTTGTACTTCATTAAATCAAGATGATGTAAATCCCTGAAGACTGAAGTACAAATTTTAGAGCTGTATTGATTTAACCTTCCCTTTGTAAATATTTCATGGTTCTACAATGTGCAAATGCAGTGCCACATGAAACAAAGGACTGTACTTTCCTGTTACTGTGCAGGGAGGTAACTGACAGCTTTTATCATACATTTAGAAAATAATACACACGAAAATGTGTAAGGAAAATTTGTCTTATGGATGTCAAGAAAAGTTGAAGAAACATTGTTTATCAAACAAGAGTTTTGTAGATACTAATTTTAGTGTGTCATTTTTCAAATATAAATCCATTTGCCTTTATAGTTTAATTTTTTCTCTTACTATGTTTTCAGATTATTATTGGTTCTTTTCAAATGTCTTTCTTCTTTTGGCCTTTTATCACTTCCTTTTTAACACTATGGAGAAACTAGGATTTCAGTATGCAATATCCAAGTTATTTCCATAATAACAGCTGACAAATAATAGAGGTATAAAAATAAATACTTCATTGAAGGACCCATCTAGGAATAGTGACTTCTCCTGGAAAGGTTGGAAGTAAGGCTGTAAAAGTGACAAATATTCTATTGGTTATTGTTTTCTCTTCTTAAATTTTGTACAAAAATAAAACCCTAGTAAACATAGAAGATTTTTGAAAATAGTGATGTATCAAGGTGTAACAAATTAGTTTTCTGCTATGACAGAAATGACACTACAAAGAAGATTATTTGTTTTTCAATGTGTGCTTAGTTAAGAACTACACAGAAGAAATGGATCTACAGGTGAATAAAAGAGTGGCATTATATCAATGTGACCTGATTTCATGAAACTAAGTTTTCTAATTATGTACCATGTGTGTGCTCTCATGAAAACACACACATTTACACACCCACCCACCCCCCACACTTTTGCAAATGAATATTCAGACTTTTTTTGTGCTGGGGATCTTATTCTACCACTGAGCTATGCCCCTCTTCCCTGGACTTTTGTAAAATAGCAAATTAGTGCACTGGAACAAAAGTTTGATCTACCCCAAAGCAAACTGCATTCAGAGTTCTAGGGATATGATGTAATTCACCTTTAAAGACAGATTTTCTGTAACTAGCAGCCAGGGCTCTTCACTAGAGGGGAAACTGATCAGTACAGATAAATTTTGAAGTAAATAGTCTTAATTTTCTAAGTTTTCCCATAAAAACACAATACAGATTTGTAAAAGGAAGGCTAATTATACTGAATTTCTTATACTTTCTTACCTGTTATAGCTGGATAGCTAGTTTTAATCACTGTATTTGTGCAGTGTGGTCATTGTGTTGTGTGT